ATGGGAGATCCTTGGCAAGGGCCTGCATTAGAAATGAATATGATAAGCCACTAAAACAGATGACGAGATATATATGCATCATATATTGTTTTGCATCAAAATGACACAAAATGTCGGTGCCTCAGATGTTTGCCGATAGCCAGTGAGAGTTGTAAGGACAAAAACAAGCTCCAACATGAAGGATGAGCAATACCTGTCTCATTTCTTCGAGACTGATGACACCATTCTTATCCACATCAATTGCAGAAAATTGATCCTTCAGATCAGAGAGCTCCTCCTCATCAAGCGTGCTAGCTAACGCCTGCCCGATGGTGAAACAGCATCCAGAAATTAGGTTTCGTATATCTGAAATAACCTTAACAGAAGGTCTACGAAATAAGAAAGCAATGAACTTACCCGTAAAGCGAACTGTTTTAGGCGACTGTATCTGACAAATTGCCGCATGTTGGATAAAACAGAAATATCGAGTGGAATCTCAGATGCATCACCTCCTTCTCGGACCCATGGATGCGCTGAAAATGTTCGACCAGATAGTTTCAAAACAATTGTTCATCGTATCAAAAAATTTAAAGGAACGACATTGGTAACATCTTTTTGCAAGTTGATTGGAATACTATGCCACAAGTTGTAATGAGACTTTATATAATTTAATAGTACTAATTCAGGATCATATATTACTTACATAGGGCCTGAGCGGCAGTAAGTCTAGCACGCGGATCCTTCACCAGTAATTTCTTTACAAAATCTTTAGCACTGTTGCTTATGTTTGGCCATGGCTTGCGACGGAAATCAGGCTTGTTTCGTAAGACCTTAGCATATTGGAAAAAGGTTAGAAAAAAGAAACAGGCAAAAAGCAGAGAATTTACAAAATATCGAAATTGTTAAAAATCTTAAAGGAAGAAAAACGCTCTAGATAAGGGCCTCTCCAAGGAAGCATACGTCAAAAACAAAAAAGTTAACCAAATAAATAGCAGCAGCTTCTCTACAAAGGAAACAACATCGATGGTCCAAGACTGAGGATGTTTATGAGATGATATCAAAAGGGTGAACGGTAATCCGGAAATTCCAAATGAATGGGAGATTTATTGAGGAAGTGGAAACTTCAAACTACCACTTAAAGTTAAAAAGAAACCTGAAACATCCTATTGAAAGGACAAAAGGTAAGCATGTAGTTTTATACAGAATGTTAATTGCCTATTAGAGCCCGAAAACTGTGATTTCCTTTCCCTAGGTTTCCCAATTTAAAACACAATTTGAAACGTTTCTAAACTACAGACAAAATATTCTCACCTCCTTGAATATACCATCCTCAGTTTTGTCCCAGAAGGGCCGACGGCCACATAGCAAAATGTATGTAATTACACCTATACTCCATACATCTGATTCAGGTCCTGATCTACGCTTTAACACCTCCGGGGCTACATAATATGCACTGCCAACAATGTCTTGGAATTTTTTTCCTGCATTTATAATTTTCCTCTGATTAGTCTTTTACTTTAAGATAGAAAACCATAACAATAGCCCCTAGATCGTTGACAAATCAATACTTCAGAAAGATGTTTTTATATAAAAATTTACAACTCATTAGATTTCTAAAGAATCCAATTACCTGGTCTTATGAAGTCTGAAAGACCAAAATCTGTGGCTTTTAATGGCGAATCCACCTTTGAAGATTTAAAGAGAAAATTCTACAAAAGAAAAAGAAGTTTGTTTAAAGAAAACAATATCAAGTAGCATTACCAAGCCAAAAGTAGTATTGAACTGTTTGCACACCTCAGGTTTCATATCTCGATGCACCAGACCATGTAAATGACACTCAGCAGCCACTTTTAGCATCTGGCGTACAACTATCGCCGCATCTTTCTCAGTATATCGACTATCTTTTCTGGTTTAGATTTATGTTTAACCCTTATAAGTAAACTTCATAATCAGAAATTTGAATAATCAACTGAAACTGGTAATTTCAGAATACTTACTTGGACAAGATTCGGTCCAATAGTTCCCCACCCTCACATAACCTAAAGAAAAACAAAAAAATTGAAAAACGTTAACTTGTGATTCAAGTGGAAGGAGCAGTTGTAGGCAAATAAACTAGGACGTTAGAAATCAAAAAAACAACCAAACTTACTCCATTACGATGTAGACATAATTATCATCCTCAAATGAATTATAGAACTGAACCACGTTCTCGTGACCAGCTAAGGCCTTCAATATCTTGACTTCTCGTTTCACATCCTCAACCGCAATTGGAAGAACCATCTGCAGCAAAAAAGAATTAGTACGGTATATTGCTACTGTAACGGACTGGATAATCATACAATTAAAGTAAAAGTTAACAAGCTTTGACGATAGAAGAAAGGAAAAAGAAAAACACAATGAAATTACTAGTATTTGCAAACATTCATAAGCCCGTCATCCTATAGGGATGACAACTCCACAACTGACGACAAGTCTACAAACCCCAAAAGACAAACCAAACAAAAGTGCACCTACGTTTTTTCAAATTTGATGTCTATTTACAAGCCAAGATTCACTCTTTAGCCATTTACGATAACTGCTTAAGCAGGTAAAATCAAGGTTTAGCTAAACATACTCCTTTATTAGGCAGAAAATCTAGCAAAATGGACAGTGTTTGCACTAGATAAACATAGACTTCTACTAACAAAAGCCAACATTACAATGGCTGATGGATATTCTTTTCTAGGAACGTAAAGACCCCAAAACAATATGAGCCTACAGAGCATTTATTTCAAGTACAACCAGAGCCAGGGGCGGCTCAACAACATTGGAGGCCTAAAGCCAAGATGGGGTTTGAGCCCTATGGATGATATCCTGTTAGAGTGCGAGTTCCCTTTTGCTTGGCCTTACGTGGTGCAAATTCGAATTAGTCGAGGCCTCAATGAGAATATCGGACACGAGTAAAAAACAAACAAAAAAAATTAGGGCCCCCAAAATTTTGGGGCCTAAAGCTATAGCTTTAATTGCTTGACCCTCTAGCCGCCCCTAACAAAGGCAGATCCAGGATTTTAACTTTATGGGTTCAAGCTTGGAATTTCTGCCAAAGCTCATTTGATTTGCTAGGTTTGAATCTATTACTATTTGTACTTCTTTAGTGGATTTTTTAACACACATACAGAGTCGGAGCCAAAGCTACCATAAGACAAACTTTACAGCCGCCTACATATGATGATAATTGGCAATAATTGGCCATTGAAACTCTATTTACCAGTCAATCGAAGATTTCAAAAAAAAAAAGAAAAAAAAAAGAACACAAACCATCCCTAGGATTTAATTAAACAAACATTCCACAACCAAAACATACATATAAAATGAATGTTAGAACCAAAAAAAATCAACAAATGAAGCTAAAAAAAACTGATTTTTAATATGGTAGTACCTTGTTTTTCTCAATTTTCTTAACAGCAACACGATCTCCAGAAGATTTATCTGTAGCAACATATGTATACCCAAATTGGCCATGACCCAACAATTTACCAATAGTATACCTCTTATCAAAATCTTTATCATACCCAAAATCTGTTCTTTTCCCACAAGGAATAACCCCTCCACTTTGTCTTCTTGAATTTGGCTTAACAACAACATTCTGCTGAGAACTCCTAGGTTGTTGTTTTTGGTGGCTGTTTTTTGTATTAATATTACCTTTATCTCTATTATAATTTGACCCCTCTTGTTTTCTTGATGTAACAGTTGTTGTTGTTGTTGTTGTTGAAGGACGGTTGTGATGAACATTTACATTTGTAGTAGTTGTAGAAGGGGTATTGCTATTTGAGCCACTAACTTTAGAGCTAGAAAAACAGCTGCCCATATTGGTGAAAATGATGAAAAAATGCAAACTTTTGCCTTTTTCAGATCATAACACAATTGAACATAGATCAATATACATATAATTTCAAGAAAAGAGAAGGTCAAGAAAATATGTTTATATATTAAGGTTGGGTTGGAGAATGTGAAAACAATAATGGAGATTTAAGAGAGGAAAGGAAAGGTTGAAGTAGATAGGAGGAAGAAGGGAAGAAAGAGAGGGTGGTGATGGTGGTGGTCAAAGAGACTTTTTGGAAGAGAGAGAAAGAGAGAGAAGGGGGAAAGGGTTCTCCCCCTAATTTTTCCAGTTTGGATGGTGAAAACTGAAATATTTTACAATTAAGGTATTTATTTACTTACTTATCTATGGTTGTTTTGGCATTTTGCAGCTTAAAAGATTTTGTGTTTTTGCTAAGGGGAGTAGAAGCCAGTCCACTCCTTAGAAGCGTTTTCCACACGTCCTAGGAAAACCTCTTCTATGGACCATTTTTAATTTAAAAAATTAAGGATTAATTGTTTTCATGGTTGATAAACTCAAAATATATGGTGTATATTAAAATAACTTGGCTTAACGTTCCATTTTGTTTCATGCTTTGTTACTATTCAAATCCCACCAAGTTATGATGTCACATGACCCGCTAGGCGAATCAATTAACATAAAAGACAACCAAAATTGAAGTTATATATGGGTAAAATCAGGGAAAATGCATACCTCGATTTCTCGATGAAGAAGACGGAAGAAGGCATGGACACACAAGGGTGAAATAGAGGCTGAGAACCTTTCGTACCGAGACTCATGAAAGGTGAACAATGTGCTCATCGTTGGGCGTGGCAAAGCAACGCTCCCTAGACCCGAAACGAGCTTTAAGACCTTGTGAAATATGGCAAACAGTTACGCACGATTAATAGAGCGTTGTGATATCCGTACCTAACCAGATATCACGGTGCAAATCTAGCTCGATGTCGGTTATGGATCAGTAATTAATGAGAAAGGATGATTTTTACCCCTTTTAGACTTGTACTAGGGATGAAACTCTTTTACTATATAAAGGGAAAATTTTCTTTGATAACGCACATTGTAACACGCAAACCAAGGCAATACAAATTTATTTTTCTGCTCTCTAGCCATTGCAAAGTTCTTACTTTATCGTTTGTTCTTCATTCTCAATTGGCTTCGAACCAAGGGTCCGATCGAGGGCAAGACTACTGTTCCACCTAAGTTCGAGCTAGGTCGTAACATTACAACTGGTTTGATTATTCAATTTTGTCTTTAACTCGTTTGTCTAATATTATTGATTACTTGTGTTGAATCAATCCGCATATCATTAAAACTACGTCCAAATTTAATTGTTATCCGTTTTAAGAGTAAATAGTTTAGCGCCCACCGTGGGGCTAAGGATAATAGTGGAGATTTGATACAAATCTCCATAATACACTCTATTTTATGCTTGTTCTTTAACGTCTTGATTTCATGTCAGTTTAAAAAATGTCAAATTCTCGATCTTCCTACTTGAACATTAACGTTGAGTCTGGCCATCATGGCGAAAACAACAATCAGGTGCCTAGCAATGAGGTACCTCCTACTGATCCCAACGGAGTCCCAGTTGTCGATCCAGTCGATGCTAACTCACAGGTGGTCATCAACGTCAACCTGCCAACTGATCCTAAAAATAGCGATCGCGGAGGGCACCGACCAATAGCTCGAGAAGCGGCCGAAGGTGAAGGTTATGGGTTAAGCCTATGGTTAATATTCGAAATGTTGCAGACCCAACAGACGGCAATAACACAGTTGCAGAATCAAATCCACGCCCCCAGAAGAGTTTGGTCCGAATCGTCCCGGGAAAACATCCAAAGAAATGAGCAGATCACTAAGAGACCGAGTGAAGCTAAGCCCGAGGTCAATCCCGAAATAATGAGAATGCTCGAAGCATTAACGAAGCAGGTGGAGTCAGGTGAAAAGCAAAATTGAGGCTAATGACAAAAAGGTGAAAACATACAATTCCAGGGTCGATCAAATCTCGAAAGCACCCCCAATATTGAAAGGGCCAGATTTTGAGAAGTTTATCAGAAGCCTTTTCCTCCCAGTGCGGCACCGAAGCTGATCCCAAAGAGGTTTTGTATGCCTGATATCCTAAAATACAACGGAACCACGGATCTGAATGAACATGTGACATCTTATACATGCACAATCATAGGGAACGACTTGGAAGATGATGAAACTGAGTCAGTATTACTTAAGAAGTTTGGGGAAACTTTGTCCAAAAGAGCAATGATATAGTATCACAACTTATCCCCAAAATCCATTGACTCGTTTGCTATGCTTGCAGATGCTTTTGTGAAGGCCCATATCGGGGCCATTAAGGTCGAGACTAGAAAGTCGAACCTTTTCAAGGTTAAACAAAGAGACAACGAGATGCTCAGGGAGTTCATGTAGAGTTTCTAGATGGAACGGATGGACCAACCTCTGGTCGTAGATGATTGGGTCATTCGGGCTTTTACTCAAGGGTTTAACCCCTGAAGCTCCTTGGCTTCACAGCAGCTAAAATAAAATATGGTAGAGTACCCGGTGGTAACTTGGACCGACGTCTACAATAGGTACCAGTCCAAGATCAAAGTTGAGGACGACCAACTCGGAGCCCCTTCTAGGTCTGTTTACCCCATCAAGACTGACGACATGTCTAAGAGATTCGTCGATCATAAGTCAAGGCCGGTCCAGGATCAGTACCAACCATGCAGCATACACCGAAGGGGAAATCGGTCTGGGAGTCATCCTATAAGGAATGAAAAGAGAGCCAATCGAAGGCCCAATAGTCGAGGTCTGATGAGCAAAAATGGTTTCTTCAGGCCGTTCGGGGTAAGGAAGCACCAAGATTATCAGAGTGTAACTTCAACGTTGATGCTGCCAGCATCATCTCAGCCATCGGGCATATCAAGGAAACCAAGTGGTCTCGACCATTACTATCCGACCCTACCTAAAGAGATCCTAACTTGATGTATAAGTATCATAGAACTCATGGCCACAGGACCGAGGATTGCCGATAGTTGAGAGAAGAAGTTGCTTGGTTGTTCAATAACGGGCACCTCCGAGAATTTTTGAGTGATCGAGCCAAAAACCACTTCAGGAATAGGGACACTAACAAACAGGTCGAATAAAAGGATCCTCAGCACGTCATCAACAAGGTCATTCAAGGGGTCGATGTCCCCCAAGGGCCAATGATAAAGCCCACCAAAGTACCTATCACAACAGAAAAATGCACCCGAGATTATGTCCCGGAGGGGACCATTTCGTTCAGCGACGAGGATGTCGAGGGCATCGTACAACCTCATAACGATATGCTGGTAATATCCGTACTTATTAATAAATATCGAGAGAAACGTGTGTTGATTGATCCAGGTAGCTCAACCAATATCATCAGATCGAGGGTCGTAGAGCAATTGGGGTTGCAGGACCAAATAGTGTCGTCAGTCAGGGTGTTGAACGGATTTAACATGGCATGCAAAACCACTAAAGGGGAGATAACCCTACCGATAAACACCGCTGAGACGATCCAAGAGACAAAGTTTTATGTGGTCGAAGAGGACATGAGGTACAACGCGTTATTCGGAAGGCCATGGATTTACAATATGAGGGTGGTACCCTCGACCTTGCACTAGGCGTTGAAGTTCCCTATGCCGGGAGGAGTCAAGATGATCTATAGAGAGTAGCTGGCCGCAAAGGAAATATTCGCAATCGACGAGGTAATCCCCATGCCCGTGGGTTCAACATAAAAAGACATGGAGCCGACCAGAAAAGAAGAAATTAAATAGCAATCACAGATGTCGGTCTCGACCGAACAGAAGGAATGAGGAGCAGGCGAGGAGGATAATTACAAAGTTTTGAGATTGTTCATAGCTCCTGATGATACCGACGCCACCAAATTAATGGTCGAAGAGTTGGAGCAAGTCATATTGATCGAACACCTACCAGATCGAAAGGTATACCTGGGCACGGGGTTAACCCTCGAGCTCAGGAAAAAAGCTCATTAATTTCTTAAAACTAACAAAGACTGTTTCTCTTGGTCCCATCTTGATATGACAGGGATTTCACCAGAGGTAACCACTCATAAGCTGAGTTTGGACCTGAAGTTCCATCTGGTTAAGCAAAAGAGGAGACTGCAGTCCAAGGTCAAGCATGCATTCATCAATGACGAAGTATCCAAACTCCTTAAAATAGGGTCCATTCGGGAAGTTAAGTACCTGGACTGGTTAGCTAATGTAATGGTAGTTCCTAAAAAAGGGAATAAGCTAAGAATGTGTGTAGATTACAAATATCTAAACAAGGCATGCCTTAAGGATTCTTTCCCTCTGCCTTACATCGATCGGATGATCGACGCGACAGCTGGGCATGAGATACTCAGCTTTCTCGATTCTAATTCCAGGTACAACCAAATTCGTATGGACCCAGATGATCAGGAAAAGACCTATTTCATCACTAAGTTTCAGCACCTACTATTATAACGTAATGTCGTTCGGATTAAAGAACACTGGTGCCACCTATCAATGACTAGTAAATCAGATGTTCGAAGAACAGATAGGAAAATCAATGGAAGTTTATATTGATGACATGTTAGTCAAGTCCCTACGAGTGAGGACCATTTGGAATATTTGTAGGAGACCTTTGACATACTGAAGAAATTCAACATGAAGCTGAACCTAGAGAATTGCGTATTTGGGGTCAGATCGGGAAAATTTCTCGGGTTCATGGTATCCAATCGAGGGATCGAGATCAACCCCGGAAAAATCAAAGACATAGAGGATATCACCATGGTGGAACATGTCAAGGCCGTTCAAAGGCTGACGGGGCATATAACCACCCTGGGCCAATTCATATTGAGGTCCTCGAACAGAAGCCATCGATTTTTCTCACTGTTTAAAAAGAAGAATAACTTTTCTTGGACCCCGGAATGCCAACAGGCTTAGGAAGAACTCAAATGATACCTATCAAGTCCTTCCATATTGCACACTCTGTAGGCGGACGAACAACTATACTTTTACTTGGCAATTTCCGAGGTGGCAGTAAATGGAGTCTTAATTCAGGAGGAGGAAGGTACGCAATTTCCTATTTACTATGTTAGTAAAACTCTAGGCGAGGCCGAAACACGGTATCCTTACCCCAAAATGTTGGCGCTCGCTTTGCTAAGAGCCTCTAGAAAGCTAAAGTCGTACTTTCAATGCCACCTCATATGTGTCGTGACCTCTTACCCGCCGAGGAGAATCATGCACAAAGCCGAGCTCTCGGCCGGTTGGCCAAATGGGCCGTCAAAATCAACGGGTAAGACATCGATTATCGA